ATGACAACACAATAGATGTTGCATTTGTGTTCCTAAACATATGAGAGAGAGAGAGAGAGAGAGAGAGAGAGAGAGAGAGAGACCATAAGAATAATTTATAAATAATGTATTATCTGGGTAAAATTTAGGTAATTAGTAGAAAATAATTAAGGAATGAGGTCTATCATAAGAAAACTTCTTGCTTCAAATTGGTCTATGATTTTTTATTTAAAATGGATAATGAAAATTGACAAGTTCAAAAACAAGAAAGGCATAGAGAGGACTGAAATTTAATAAAAAAATTGTAATTAATTGGACACCAACAAGCAATTTCCTTGCAACCATGCTTTCAGTGGTCCCTACTGTGCCAGTGAAATTCTGGATCGGATCGGTGAAAGGTCTTGCGGGGCTGATCGTTGGTTCGAATCGAGGATCGCAAGATTTTATTAAATAATAAGACTAGATAAACATATGATATTTTTAATAATAAATTAATTGCTGAACCAAGAAGCAAACTAAAATAAAAAATTCATCAAGTGTAGAACCAAAAATAAAAATAAAAGTATACTTCTATTTCATCTTATTTTAAAAATCAAATTATCAACTAAAATTAATTTTTATGAAAAATTTATGAACACCAATCATCACAAATTTTTGTACAAGTTAATCACAACCATAAATAAATGAAAAATCACAAAATTATGAGTTTGGAAACCAAGCCTAATTCTACAACTAATTTTCAACAAGCTAGAAATTTCACAAAAAGAGAGAGAGAGAACACTGAATGCATATAGATTAAAAAGCAAAAAAAATGCAAATCAAATATTTTATATGTGATCAAAGAAAAGGTTAAAAGACCATAATTCAAAAATATGATGAACAAATGAATGCCATCGTCGATTTTCCCAATAGTTGGTAGACAATGAAAGATAATAGATTTCGTATTAGGGATTCTAATTTTTGCCTTTTTCTTTTACTTTGTTTTCACTAAAGTTTTGATTTGGGCTTTAGTTCAAAATGAACCTCAATCTAAGTATCCAACAACCAATGAATAATGAGGAAAACTTATAATGATGAAAAAATGGAGGATGGTTAAAATCATTAGGACAGGTAAAATCTTGGGGAATCGTAAGATTCTACAATTTTAAGATCCTACAACTGGAGGAGGTCATTTTATCCTTTTCAGATTGTAGAATCATAGGATATAAGATCCAGATCGGGAGTTTAACAACTATGATTCCAGCAATAGGGAATCCACAGGATCCACATCTTGTTTACAATGGTAATAGGCTGTGAATGACATTTCAATCATAATTTCAACCAATACAAAAAATGAACACAACTGAGATAGCTATGACAACATAATAGGTGTTGCATTTGTGTTTGTACACGAGAGAGAGACTGTTGAGTGACCATAAGCATAAAGATTTTCATTCACCGATTTCATTTAACAATTTCTCCCGGTAAAAAGGATTTAAAAGTAGTTTTTGTGCATAGATTTTCTGGTCACAAGTCGCAAAAGGACTTTCGATGTGAATTGTTCACTAAAACTACGAAGTGCTTTCCAAAAAATGATTTCGTTTCAAGCATTCCGTATTTAGAAAATGACTAGCATCAAGACATGGAAATGTACATATAAAGTTTGGTTTCTATACTATTTCAAATACGGAAGAAATTTTATATATAAATTGTTTTCAAAAATTAAAAAATGATTTTCCTACATACAACGTAATAATATGCTATTTTGTTAAAGACTTTGGAAGAGAGCCCATATTGATAATACAATAACACCTTAACAAGTATTCCATATTTCGAATTGACTTAATGATTCGAAAAGGAAATCCAGAGATGGAATGATTGCAACTAATCTAAACAAGAAAGCCAATGGTATATGATATCGCATCATCCTCTAGAACAATGATCTGTGAAAATGGAATTTGTAGGAGGACAATATTAAGATGGTTCAAAATGCTCATGTTAATTTTAAATGAACGTAGTCAACCAAAATAGACAATTGATCAATCATGAGATTTTAAGGGGGAATTGTTGCGTTTTAGCTAATGCAGCGAGATCAAAATCAAAACGCAAATCACAGTGACAATAAAGCCAAAGTAACTGACATGTGCTTCGAGAGGGAAATGAGAAAAGATGATGCATTTTCTTTAAGAGCATAGTAAACTGATCGTCAAATACTTCTTGAATAAACCTTATCATGCTTGGTACTAGGTTATCGAATAATCGAAACCAACATTTTTCCACTATCAGTTCAATACAAAACAAGAATACCAAAATATTATAGCATCTAAAAAAATTTAAACACCGCAAAAATCCAACATTAAGACTCAAAAATTTAGAACATCCACCTTGCAAGTGCTGTCGGATGAAAACCACCAATAGTAGCAAAGAGAAGGGAAGAATCTGCTCAATCCACCTTGCCACCTGCTGTATATCATATCTCTGATACGACGAAGTATCGCCATTATTCTCATTAGAACTAGTGGTAGTCCCATTCCCATTAAAATCATCTGTCCCCAACGCAGACTCCACCGTGCCCAATCCCAGTCCCGAACTTGGTTGATCATTCTCACCATCATTTCCAACAACCCTAACCCCATCCTGCTCCCCCGCCCCACTAATCCGAATCGAAACCTCCCCATTATTATTACTACTATTACCACTATTAGTAATATCATTGCTGTTAATCGAATTTAAATTGTTGGTAATTTGGACATTAGTATTGGTATTTTGGGATACGAGCGGGTGGGCTTCGGAGTAGGGATGATCGGGCCGGACCCGAAGGACGCCGGTGTGTTCAAGTAGGGTTGAGATAGGGGACCGGATGAATCGGAGGAAAGGGAATTGTATCCTGGAATTTCCCCCATTGCTTGGTGATGAAGGTAACGAATCTACATTGGAATTATCAGGATTCGCACCACTTGATGTCTCCATAACTTTTTTGCATTCAATTCAAAAACCCACCTCCAAAATCTATCACAATTAAGGTATCAATCAAACCCAGTAAGAAACAATCGAGACAAAAGACTTGTGTTAAACGAGAGAATCGTCAATAATATAATAATACAAGCATATATCTATACACATACATACAAACAATATATAAATTACCGGAAAAATATGAGGGATATACAGTGAAAGAGGCGGAAAAGAGAAAAAAAAATATCTGAAGGAAAAGGTCAGAGAGTAAGAGAGTTAATTTCGGGATTATTAAAGAAGGCCAAAACGTGTAACGTAATTCATGTACAAATGGCGGTGTGTAGAGCGCATTGTGTTTTCAATTTGATTAATGAATCAGACACTGGAATTGCAGTTACAGAAATCTTGTCTTTTTCTCCATTAGCGTAAACGGCGAGAAGATTTGTGAGGTTCGATCCGAAGGAGATTTGTGGGTACATTACGTACGTACTCGTTTTCGTTTTCGTTTTATTTTCTGTTTCTTGATTATTTTAGGTCAAATTGTCACCAAATTTTAGCTTTATTTTAAGTTAGTCCCTTGTATTTAATTTATTTCAAAAACGTCAGGTAACTTTGCATTTTATTTTAGGTTAGTCATTTATTAGACTGTGCCACTAACCGAAACGATCAAATTAAAACAAAATATCGAATTGAATTATTATTTTTAAAATATAACTAAAGGTAAGTAATGATTTGAATTTCTAACATTGAATTTTTTTTCCTGTTTACGATTTTTACAAAGTTTGTCTATTCCTTTGATTTTAGTTTCTTCATTTTTTGGCTTTATAAATAAATGACTTATTCATTGTAATTTACAGCCTTGATTATATGAATAAAAACTGATTTCGCTTTTCACTCAATTCTTCTCTTCTTGGACCCCATTTCTTTTCATAGTTAACAAAGGCTATCTATAGTCGTCTTACGTGGCATACATTTGACAGTTTGTTATTTGATGCATTCATTTAGTCGTTTTTTATTGTCTCATGCATCAAATGTGTGTGTATTTGGCAGTGACGAAGAGACGTGTAATGTGGGTTTACTCGATAGAAGTATTGCACGTGGGATTACTCCGCTATGTGAGCGGAATGTGCCGATGGCAATGCACAAAAGACTGTGGGCATCGGTTCCAGATGTTGGCTTGCAGGCAGCAAGTCGCATATGGTAGCTAGCTGCTGCCTTACCTAATTCCAATCAACATTCTTTTTCCTCTGATTATATGCCTTTTAACCATCAACATGGACTTGATATCCAGAAATACATCTGAAAAAGGTTGGATATACTTTTCATTATGCATATTCTCTGCATATATGAACATACTCACTGCTATGAATCTCTCCAATTTTTCCCTATTTTCTTCCTAACGAAAAAGAAAAACTTGTCAGATTCAGTGGGTGTTTGGTGGGGATTAAAATTAGATTTTTAGTAAATTGTTATAGAAGTTTTTGAAATGTGTGATTGAAAAGTTGTGGGATCCAGGAAAGATGTGGTTAATATTAATTGTTTGAATTTGTGTTAGATTAAAATCTAATTTTAATCCGAAACAAAATGGCCTAAGTGATCGACCAAGACTGGATCTACAGTCGTGCTATAGTCCAAGTCAGTGCCAGTGCCCTTCTTTGAACTAAAATGATTTTCTAGAAAATTTAGAATACTCCCGTTTCTGATTTTACTAGCCAAATTAATTCCTTGGGTGAAGAAGTCAGCCACAGAGAGAACATAATTGTTTAAAAAAAATTGACTAGTATTTGTTTTATTTTATTTTCTTATTTTTTAAATCTTTTATTAACATGATTTCTTGAGTGGGAAATATACACGATAACATTCAAATAAGAGGTTATCATAGAAATATTGAATTTTGCTGTCTCGTTAAGAATTTCTCAACTGTGGCTGGTTCGAGCTTGAGCCAAACACATTTCCTCAGCTGTAGAAGCACCAATTTAACCCTGAGTTTTCCATGCTAAGCTTCATTCTACGCTTATTTATCGTATGATCCATGCTTTTCAAAGCTCGACTAAAAAAATAAATGAGCCTGGTAGAAGGTGGTGTTCATGGCAAAGGGAACGAGTGGTGGAGGACAATGGCTGGGAGCGAGTGGTGGCGGCGGCGACATTGAAGGGTCTCAAGTAAGACGCCATCAAAAATTTCGAAGACGGCAAGTTTAGATTTCGTGCAATTATCAAACAATCCGTGCTTCTATATGTACCCAGAAAAGACTCCTCACATGAGAGTTCAACAAGAATTGTCGACAATAAATATATATTTGGAACTCTAATTATATACTGTGCTAATGCCTCAACTTTTGAGAACATAATAACAATTGTACAAACAAATATATTTCTTCTATTCATTAAAGTTGTAAATTTATATTTACAACTTTGTCTAACTTTTAACTAAATCGTAATGAAGAGCAAACTATATATATTGAACAAATGGGAGACATCTAAACCATAATGGTAGAGTTGTACTTGAAGTCAAATGCAAGAAACAGCATTAACAATTGAATTGGAGACAAAACAGTGTTACGGGTGCCACAGCGCCAGCGCCTAAGCGGTGTCTCCTTCCCAAACACTTTCTAAAGATTTTTTCTTCATTCCAAAGTTTTCTTCAAGTTCAACACTAATTCTAACTCCCAATTGAGTCCAAGTAGAACTTCAACTTGAATTCGCCAAGTAAACTTGAATAAGATTTCACAATAGCATTTCAAATATAATTTTCCTTAATGTGCACTTTAACTAGCCCCCGTTTGATCCCATTTATTCCCCTTTAAATTATAATATATTGTTATGTCTCTTCTTTTCAATCATACATTTTTTCAATAAAATAATATTACACGTAAATTCAAATAAATTTCCTTTTTTAAACACACATTTTTCAAAAAAATTATTATTTCTCTCATTATTATGTGGAATAATGGGGCCAAACGAGTGCTTAGGACTCTCAATTATCTTCAACAAGGATCACGCACAAATTTTAACAAGAAGCAATCGGCATTGGAATAAGAGAAAGCAAGTGCAAGAAAGGAGTGAGAATGCCGTTAAAAGTCTAGACTAATAATATGTGTTTCAAAACGAAATGTGTTAAACGTGATCATACCTTATTCGCGACTACATGTACTATTCTAAGATTAATTAAACTAAGATTAATTAAACTAGCCAAAGTGAAGAATTCATAGTTAAATACCTATAATTAGGGCATTGATTTCAAGAGAAGGCACAAGATATGCATAGTGTCATTTACCCCTACTTCATCTATTATTAGAATAGAAGGAATTGGTGTCAAATAGAAAGAATTGGAATTGGTACAAAGGAGATGGAATGTTTAGCAAGAACTCGCTATCAACTTCAAGTTATAGGAGCTCTTCGGTGTGCAAAATGGAATAATTAGGTTAGACTCCAACGACAACTATACAAGCTCTATGCTTAAGTCGTGCGAGTACTAGTGAATATATAATTAGAGCGAGTGTGATAATTTCGTTTTCTACTATTGTGTCTCAAATAAATAAAATACTTCTCCCTTCATAGAATCGATAGATTGGTGAAAGAGCGAGTGTGATTATTTCGTTTTCTACTATTGTGTCTCAAATAATTAAAATACATCTCTCTTCTTTGAATCGATTGATTGGTGATTCCCAAGTCTACAAACTTAAAGCTACATTTACCAACGGCCACTTTAAAGTAATTTGATGGGTGAATTCATACCATAATTATAAGATATGTCAAAATGTGGATTCACATCAATCGTGCATTTAAGTGCTTGTTTGGTAAAGTTTTTAATGTATAATTAAAAGTAGATAAAAATTGTGAATTCTAAATAATATCTAATAAGCTTATAAGCATTACCAAACAAGCACTAAAATATTACCACGAACTTTATTGGTTCGTTTGAACCCTATTTTTTTAAAGAATATATCTTGTAATACTGATTTTTTTAGAGAATATATGGTTAAAAAATAGAGAAAAAAATTTAAATTTACGTACAAAATTATTTTACATGAAGAATATATAATTAAAAATGAATTTATGAATAAATAAATATTTAAATAATGATGCTACTTAATTATTTAAATTAGATTTTTAGTAGATTGTTATAGACGTCTAAACCATAATAGTAGAGTTGTACTTGAAGTAGAATGCAAGAAACAACATTAACAATGAAATTGGAGACAAAACAGTGTTACGGGCGCCGCAGCGCCTGCGCCTAGGTAGGGTCTCCTTCCCAAACACTTTCTAAAGATTTTTTCTTCATTCCAAAGTTTTCTTCAAGTTCAACACTAATTCTAACTCCCAATTGAGTCCAAGTAGAACTTTAACTTGAATTCGCCAAGTAAACTTTAATAAGATTTCACAATAGCATTTTAAATAGAATTTTTTCTTAATATACACTTTAACTAGCCCCCGTTTGGCCCCCTTTATTACACATTAAATTATAATATATTTTTATGTATCTTTTTTTCAATCACACATTTTTCAATAAAATAATATTACACGTAAATTCAAATAAATTTTTTTTTTAACCACACATTTTTCAAAAAAATTATTATTTCTCTCATTATAATGTGGAATAACGGGGCCAAACGAACACTTAGGACTCTCAATTATCTTCAACAATAATCACACAAAAATTTTAACAAGAAGCAATCTGCACTGGAATAAGAGAAAGCAATAGTGCAAGAAAGGTGTGAGAATGCCGTTAAAAGTCTAGACTAATAATATGTGTTTCAAAATGAAATGGGTTAAACGTGATCATACTTTCTTCGCGTCTACATGTACTATTCTAAGATTAATTAAACTAACAAAAGTGAAGAATTCATAGTTAAATACCTATAATTAGGGCATTGATTTCAAGAGAAGGCAGAAGATATGAGTTGAATTTAAGAAAGAAAATAAGACAATACAAAGAGAATAGAATTGTATTGAATGGCGTAATTTGTTTACAAGAGAGACATCCTATTTATAGCTCAACTTGATAGGAATGTTTTACTTTCTAATTAATGTAGGACTAACTAACATGTGCATTATGTATATATGTATATACATTAACAGCCCCCTTCAAACTCAAGGAGGTAAAATGGAGACCAACTTGAGTTTGGAAACTAAATCCTGAAGGCGTTCAGGAGGATGTGTTTTAGTGAAAATATCAGCAATTTGATCGGTTGAAGAAACTGATAATAGTGCAATAGTCCCATGGGTGAGATGATGATGTATAAAGTGACAATCAATCTCAATGTGTTTTGTGCGTTCATGAAATACATCATTGTGAGCAATTTGGATAGCACTTTGATTATCGCAGCTTATGATAGTGGAA